GCATGGCTCCAAGCAGCGGCGGCAGGGTATGGGGGTAGGATGGCTTCCAGTGCTTCACCTGGAAGGCATCCAGACCCACCCTGCCCCCGCCGCCGCCGAGAGCCTTCTGAGCTCTCAAAGGGCTTTCTCCAATGTTGGGGGGAAAGAGCTTGGAAGGCCTTTGAGAGCTCAGAAGGCTTCGGAGCCACCGCCGGGAGAAGCCTTCCCCACGGTAGCTCCGAAGCCTTCTCCCCCGAGCCGGGTGGAGCAGGCTTCGGATCCACCGCCAGGGGAAGCCTCCCCCATGGTCGCTCCGAAGCCTTCTCCCCCCAGCTGGGCGGCGCAGGCTTCGGAGCCACCGCCGGGGGAAGCCTCCCCCGCGGTCACTCCGAAGCACACACTGGTCAGCTGGGAGAAAATGGGGACTATGCGGAAAAATCGATTTGCGATTTTTCATTTCCCCATAGGAAACATCGCAATGCGATTGTGTTTGTGATCGCAAAACCCGCATCGCTATGCGGATTAGTCATTAAACGGGGCGCTCGTTATACGAGGCACCACTGTACCTACAAGGTGAGAGAAAAGGAGAATACCCACTACAAAAGGGCTTTTATTTATTTATTCTGCAGAATAAAGGAATACACATGGGTTAACACCTGAACAAATCTGTCTCAGAGTTTACAGATGTGAGCTAGTGTTTATATATCATACCTATCACATATCACTGACCTTATTTGCAACCCTCACCTAGCTAGTATAGCTACCATGATATAGCTGACTTCTGGTCTCTTTCTTCTCTTTAGGCCTCTCTCTCTTTTTCTGCTGTCACATCACCTTCCCATTTATTTTTTATTTTATTTATATATTGCCCATCTCGCAGCCAAGGCTGCTCTGGGCGGTTTACAACAAGTAACAAAAAACAACAGAGTAACAAAAAAGCAAACAGCAACATTAATATATAGGTGTGAAAATAAAAAATCATGAAGTGAGGGTAAAATTATAATACAATAAATACAATTCAAAGCATAGAAAAATGTCACCCTGTTCTTATTTTCCCTATTTTAACAACACATTCTACACATTCCTTTCCTCATGTTAGTGAAAGGTCAGGGCTTGATACTTATAAGTTTCTTAACATCTAACATATGACACTAGCCAAATCAGACACCAAAATGGTACTAGTGATACTAAGCACAGCTAGGCATAAGCATTATTGAATAGAAATTTCTTAACACCAGGAAGTGCTTCCATAGACACAGTTGCCCCTTCATTTGTTTGGTTTGTATCACGGAGCTCCTTGTCCTATCTATTCTTGAATAACTGGAACAGAAGTTCATACACATTTTCTATTTCTTCTTCCCTGCTCCCCAAATTCCTTCTGTCAATACAATCCTGCACCAGAAAACGGCAGCACGCCAACAAAAGATTCAGTTTTGCTCACCTAGATTTCCAGTTTCCCTTCTGCTGAAAGAGGAAGGGAACAAAACACCATAGTTTTTCTTCTGAACATCTACCCAACCCCCGGGACATCTATTCTCTCTGATGATCTCTCTTTCACGTCAAATATGTATTCTCACTTAACTGAAGGCCCTTCCATGTTGAAACATGAGCACTTTACACACATTAGAACTAAAAAGTTACTCCATGGAGGTTTAATAAGGTTTCTGCCTCTGCTGTACCTCTTTCTGCATTTGATTGAGGCCACTGCTAATGGCGTGTACTGAGAGCACCAAAGCTCTTTCCACATTCCATGCACTGAAATGGTTTCTCCCCGGTGTGAGTTCTTTTCCAATCTGCTGTATATTTGAATGTAGAGTCCTGAAGCTGAGGCTCCAGTACTTTCGCCATCTCATGCGAAGAGAAGACTCCCTGGAAAAGACCCTGATGTTGGGAAAGTGTGAAGTCAAGAGGAGAAGGGGACAACAGAGGACGAGATGGATGGACAGAAGTGACGCACATTGATTTGACCAAACTCCAGGAGGCAGTGGAAGACAGGAGGGCCTGGTGTGGTCTGGTCCATGGGGTCACAAAGAGTCAGACACAACTTAACAACTAACAACAACAGTCATGTCAAAAAGAAAGTAAATCCTCTTTGAATTCTATAGTTTATGTATCAGAACAGCAAATCACTTGTAGTAATTTTGACTTTATCAGTCTCTCACATCATTATGAAGGAATTTTGGCCAAATCTTCTTTACAACGTTGCTTCAGTTCATTGAGGTTTGCGGGCATTTGTTTAAGGTCCCACCACAACATTTCAATCAGGTTGAAGTCTGGACTTTGACTGAGCCACTGCAAGATCTTTGCAAGAACTTGGGATTAGAGATCAGCATGAACCAGAAAAATGCTAGTTTGTGGAAGTCTGCATACCACAAATTTCTGAACGTTTCCCTGATGAGCCACGAACTGGTTCATCAGTTTGTCGGCCTATAAAAGGGCTCACCAGGGTAACGAAGAACACCTACCCCCCCACCCCTTCCCACTGTCCCCATTGCCTTCCTACATTTTGCTGCCATGGCCTCCCCTGCAGCCACCTTGAACAGCAGCCCTCTACCTGCAAGAGTCAGCCAAGTCGGCATTCAAATCAAAATATTTTTAATATTATTTTTAAGTTTTAAAAAAAATCCGAGAGGCAGTCCAGGGCTGCCACTGCGCATGTGCTGGCATCTCAGGTGAGAGATGAGTACATGGGCAAAGGCATACCCATCCTGCGGAAG